ACATACAAATTGGATCTTCCAGGTGAGTATAGCGTTTCGACAATTTTTAATGTATCTGATCTTTCTCTCTTTGATACAAGTTCAGATTCGAGGATGAATCCTTTTGAAGAGGGAGGGGATGATGTGATCTAGGAGTCGTAAGCAACCAAATCAAGTCCAACGTCAAGCCCGGGGAAAGATTCGTTGAAAGTCGAAGATGGACCTATGACACGAGTGAGGACAGAGCGAGTGAAAGAGGCGATGGGATTACTCGTCAAGACAACCATCGATGAAATCATGTTCGGGACTCAAAATGACACAAGTTTCGTGTTCGGGTCGAAGGCCAAAACCAATTGGATCAACACAATACAAGCAGCCGAAGATGGAGCTGGAGAGAAGAACCATGCGACCGCATGGTTAAAATAGTCCTGCGGTCGCACGGAGTGAGGCAGGGAATTATTCGGGATTTTCGAAAGTTCCATGCGGCCGCATGATTTTACACCATGCGACCGCATGGTTAAAAATTTGACGTGTTTTTTTATTTTTTATTCTTCCGCGAAATTCCTATTTTTGATACAATTTGATACTTAATAAATTTCTTACCATATTTGAAATATTAGGCACGTTTTTACCTAATTTTTTAGACCTAGTATAAATACTATTTTATTTTCAATTGTAAGAACCTTTTGACATAATTTGTAATTTGAGAGGCTATATTACTTTCAACTCTTGTTATACAATTGAACAATTCAAGAACTTATCAAGATTTAATCTTGTGGCGTTCAAATCAACCGGGTGAGATTTCGTATTTTTTTGTAATCAAAAGGTCGGCACATCGTCGACGATTCGGGTTGATTGGTTCCAGATCTATTGAATTTAATTCAAAACCTTGCTTTGGTTTTCTTGGGAAGATTTCAATCTTGTTCGTGGGTTTTGTAGCGTTTGTCTACGCGGATTCACATCAATTAGCCTTTTAACAAAAAGTAAATCCTTTGAATTTAGAGTCAATTAAATCATATTTCTTATAGTTTTTGTTTACAATCACAGCAAAACACAATTAATCAAAAATTATATTTTAAACCAAAAAAATCACAAGATAGCGAAGCGTGATTATACTCAAAGATGGAATAATGTGTATGGATGTACATTATTTGAATAGTTACAAAGATGAAGTCAGAATTTGATCCCACTAAAAATATGGAACTAATTTAATCTCCAAAAAATTGATTTTTTACAAGAATGAGAAGACACTTTTTTTTTTTAAAATTTGAAGCAGAATTTTTTTTTTCTATTTTTAATTTGAGAAAGAATGGTTTTAGAATTTGAAGGAGAAGACGTTTTTTCAATTTTCAATTTGAGGAAGTTACTTTTGAAGTGAATGAAAGCCTCCAATTCCCTTCCTTCTTCAATTCAGTTTTACTTGAGAGGAGTAAAGTAGTTTTTCCATACTTTTAAATAATTAAAATTTATTTTCTTTTAAATAATTTGGTCAAAGACCATTTGAACAAGAAGAGATTGAGGTGTGGTCTTTTGAACTAATTTCCCATTTATTAATGCATTTCAAAAATAGCCTTAATGCATAACAAAAACATCCTTGATGCATTATAGAAACAGCCCGAATGCATATACAAAAATTGGCACTTAATGCATAACCTTCATTCTGACAACCACAAATTTTCTACAGTAATTTAAATTCTGCCATTTAGTCTAACAAAATTGTTAATAATATTAGTCAAAGCATGTTAATTTCCTTCATTCATCATTCTATCTGTCTAGATCGAAGCTCACTTGTGTGCATTTCTTTAGTAACCATGAAGGTAGGCATGAATGGCATGAGCTTCTCTTCTACTGTGGTTTGGTTTGAGGATGATCCCGTACATCTAGAGGCGAACATTTTACCCTGTAAGACAGTAGAGTATAAAACATGAAAGCTATTTTTGGATTATTCATTAAAAAAATTATAGAATAGGTTACTCTAGAACTGTCAACTTTCAATAACCAATTAACTGAAATTGATTGTCGAAGAAACATATTTCTTGTGACTGAACTAAATTTGTGCAACAAAAAAGAGCTATAGGTTGGTGAGTTTTTCTATTATATATTTCTACAGGTAGTCTTTATCAAATGTGGGTGAGTTTTCCCATAGTTTCGATGAAATATCAATTGTTGATAAAAATCCCGTAAGAGTACGGATTCATTGTACAAGTAATAATCGTGATAAAAAAGTTATCGTCTCGCAGGAAATAAAGCTCAATGCTAGTATATTTGATATATTAACATTCGTGATTGTAACAAAAAATGATTGGTTTATAATTATCTATGTAGTATAACTATGAAAGTAATAAAAATTGGTTTTAAATCAAATGTGGATGAACGTAATGGATTTCTAACTCCACTAATCAACTCTTTATTTCAATCTTCAATTTGTGATAATTAATTCAATTTATGCAATTGTGACAATCAATCATTCTACTTTTATTTACCATTCTTTTCAAAATATAATAAACCTATGTTTACCATAGGACGATCATATTCCTAGTCCGAATTCATATGACAAATATGCATTGATGCTTAGAAGTATCGCACACGACTGCATGTGCCATAAATATTATTTCTAATATTGTCCGTGCGTTCCATAAACAATATTGTACTTATCTCGAATTTTTCAACACTATAACTTAGCAACTTATTGCTCTAATAGTATGCGAGTATTAAAACAATGTAATTATGCATATTTATGGAATCACCAAGCAAGAATTAAACTAAAAACATGAAATCTCGAATTCAAAATTAAGAATCAAAGAATTTTTCATCTATCCAATACGAAGTTTAGCCTAACATATTAATGTAAGAATTACAAAGAAAATTAAGAAATCAACAGCCTGAATCGTTAGAATATGAAAAAAAATCTTGAAATCTCCAATTAAAGCCTTCAAATTTGGATCCAAGCGATGAATTTTTCGTTTTTGATGTAAATTCTCTCTTTTTTCTATCAAAATTTGGCTAGAATCCCTCCTTCCTCCATTCTGGTGGCTCTAAATCTCTTTAAAATGTCCACAAAGTTGTGTCTATAAGAGTTTCAACTGTATAAGGAAAGCTGAATATTTTGTATCGGCAAACAATCTACGCAGGCATAGAAGTAAAGGTGCGATCACATAGAACAATTGAAGTCCCCAATTTTTGTTTCGGCATTGATAGATGCGCCAGATTTGAGACAGCATATGCGGTCTCATATGCTTATATCAAGCTTCCTCGTTTGCATTTTAGTCCTCAAATGATTTCTTGTTCCTTTTTCACCCTTTCTCTTTCCAACCATCCCATTTCCTGTTCAATTTATTTCCAATATTTTAATATGTTGATATCAAAGTTGAGCTCAACTTCTGATTATTCACATTTTGGTTCCTGAACTTCCAATCTTCTCCACTTTGATCCTTTTTCGTTCCTTTTCTACAATTTCACTATGTTCATCATTGTAAACCTAAAACAAGACAAAGCACAATGAATTAAGCCAATACCCCATATACTTTATCACTGAATACTCAATAGGAGCTGTCCGAATAAGTGTATAAAATACAATTATCATTAATATCTCAGAAAGACGCAAAATCAGATGAAAAATGGTAAGTTTTTTGTCGTGTTATTGGTCCCCAACCCTACCACTTCCTTGTCCCAAACAATAGACTTCTAACAAAAATGAAATCAGCAATTTCTATTTGTCAATTTGCATGTTCTACAGCATATCTACTCCCGACGTTGCCACGTTTGGCTCTTCTTCTACTCAAACTACTCCTTCCTTTTCACAAAAATACAACCGGACCTTAAATTACTTTGCTAAACCTTATGGAATAAGCAATATGGTAGGTTTAAAGGTTGAAAATCAACTGAAGTTGGGGATGGTGTAATGATCAATTTTTGTCTAGTGACCTCTTAGAAGCAAATTTAAGTATAGTGACCAGAACGTGACAACATTGAAAGTTCAATGATTAATGAAACTTTTTGCTTTGAATATTGAGGAAGAAGATATCCCTAACGGTAAATACTATTTTGAGTGCACATTGTGATAATTACGATTCTAGAAACGCATTTTGGCCTAACAAATGTAGTTTTATGAATTTAATGAATATAAAATTAAAGGAATATCTTGATTTGTTGATGATTTCTTAATATATTTTAAAATTGAGGAAGAGCATACTACACAATTGATGATAGTCCTTCAATTTTACGATAAAAACAGTTGTATTCCAAATGCAATAAGTGAAAATATTGAATAGGTCAAGTGACATTCTTAGAAGTAGCAGTAACAATAGAAGGAATTACGGTAGATTTTAGTAAACTTGAGACAATTTTTAGGATGACCATGACTGTCTAAACTTATAGTTATGGAATGATGTTATATCATGTATTTTTGTCTTATTATTTTGGGTTATATTGAATTATGTTTTTATATGTATATAATTTTTACGTTTTACTGCATTTAAATATAGATTGAAGAATTTTTATATTTAAATATTAGTAAACCATCTTGCTATTACGGATGTTGATTGTCAACAGTCAAAGTTCAACAATCGCTCTAACTGACCTCCAAGCTTGGATCTACCATTGTTTATAGCCCAAGATTTCTAAGTTGAGCTCAAAGTGTACATATATTAATCAAGGATCCCTAAACGATATAAGAAGAAATGTGAGCAACATCTACATACTGGTCCTTTATATTACAAGGTAGTATCATGAAAAATTGAGTTAAGTGTTCACAAATAAGAAAGTTTTATTTAGTTAAACACGTGGAAGAGGGAATCCATGAAAGAGGACGAGAAAAATGAGATAAAGGAAAATTTTCTCGAGTTATCATAGACAAATTTCGAGGACGAAATTTATTTATGGGGGAAATTTATAACGCCCCCAAAAAAAGAAGATTGAGGATAGATTATAAACAAATTGGAAAGATTAGGGACGAAAAGTGCAAAAAACTTTAAAAGTTATAGCGTCTTATCCTTTTAAACTCCAAAACCTCGGACCTAAACCCGTAAACAGAAAGTTCCAGCAATGCTTCTGCAACCCACATCGTCAAAATCGTCCCTCAGTTTTCATCACCAAAACCAGAATCATGCCCTATTCAAACAACCCATTATTGTTACCCTTCAAACCCACAAAAATCCAATCTTGATAAAGGGTTCATCAATATCAAAGAGTAATACCCATGAAACAGTGGACTATGAAAAAAGGGCTATTTCAAAATGGAATTCTATATCCAGGAGAATATCGACGCTGGAGAATCCACAAATGGGCTCTGCTTCTGTGTTGAACCAGATGGAGAATGAGGGTAAGAAACTCTCCAAATGGGAGCTCTGTAAAGTGGTTAAGGCTCTCAGGAAGTTCAGACGTTTCAAATATGCTCTAGAGGTAAATAATAATAATATTATTAGAATTGAAATGCTTGATATTAATTGGTTGGCTCTCGAGGCAAGTTCGAGTCTTTGGTAGCATTAATTTGATTGCTATGATGTTTTCAATTTGCTTGTGCTTTGATTCAGTTATTGGATTTCTTTTCTTGACTTTTAGAAATTGTGTCTCCTCATTCTTGATGTTGGAGAAAAATGTTGATCTTCAATTGATAATCTCGATTTGAGTTTAATTACGTTGTAAGTTTGACAATATCTTGGTTTTCTATTTTAGGATTGCAGGATTTTTAGGCGTTTTAGATATCTTTGTTAGTATTAGATTGTGGTGTCATCCAAACCTTGCGTTGCGTCTTACATTCTCTTAGAACTCTTGTCTGAAGGGGTTTTTACTCTGAGGTGTTTTAACGTGTACAATTTGAAGGCTCAACTACTTCTTTAACGTTCATTCATTCAATCGGCCATGTTATTCTTGCTTTTTAGCTAAACTTGTTTGTGTGGCATTTTTGCTGTTGAATTTCAATAGCACAGTTCTTGGGTGTCTTGAATAGATTTCATCTGAAAGTTTTAATTATTGGATCAAATATTCATTTATATTCAATTATACATTGCTCAGTCCTGTCTAATATTGAAGAAAATAGATAAGATTGTTTCAACTTTATCTTAGGTGAGTATTTAATCATGGGTTTTGCAATGTTTCGTCTTCATTTTTACCAGCATATCTTTTCCCTAATTAATGGATTGGCATCTAAGAAATTGTATGTGTCCTAAGTTTAAGGTCTTATTGGGGACCTATTTATATCAGGCTATTTACATGTAATTGTGTTGGGTTGTCTCATGTTGGCACGAGTATAGCACGGCAATGAAAACTTGGAGTGACTGAGGGCTCAGGTCGGGTTTCCACTCTTTTAATTCGTACCTCCTCCTATTCTTAAGTAGAGAACCACCTTGTAGTTTTCAGGTTAAAAACAAGGTATGGCGAATTAAGATTCCAAAGGAGAAGGTGGGGTTTTTGTCGTTTAGGTAAGGGACTGAAATGGTGAGCATTGAGTGGAAATCATGTCAATACATATAGTTCATGTGCCTCTATATGCATATATTTGATGTTTTCTGTAGTTTATGAGAAAAAGTTATATGCGTCGTCATACGACCCATGAACACACACAATGATGCAGGCTTGTGTATTTATTCACTAGAAATGTCTTTTATGCATGGTCTAACGGACCTTGATACTTCCACAATTGGGTGAACAGAGATTCATTTCAATTCCAATTACTATGTCATTCCATCATCCATGAACTTTCTATAATCTGCAGGTCTATGAGTGGATGAATAACAGAGGAGAGAGATATAGAATAACCACCAGTGACACCGCTATCCAACTCGATCTGATTGCTAAAGTGCATGGAATTTCAAGCGCTGAAGAATACTTCCTGAAGTTGCCGGATGCATTGAAGGACAAGAGAATTTTTGGTGCTCTCTTGAATGCGTATGCTGGTGCCAGAATGAGGGAAAAAGCTGAATCATTGATTGATAAAATGAGAAAGAGAGGTTATGCTTGCGATGCACTTCCATTTAATGTGATGATGACACTCTATATGGACCTTAAAGAATATGATAAGGTTGAGTTAGTGATCTCGGAAATGATAGAGAAAAACATATCATTAGATATCTATTCCTATAATATTTGGTTGTCGGCCTGTGGATCACAAGAATCTCTTGAAAAAATGGAACAAATATTTGAAAGGATGCAGGGTAACACCACTATCACTCCGAACTGGACTACTTTCAGCACAATGGCTACTATATACATCAAGTGTGGGCAGCTAGAAAAGGCTGAAGACTGTATAAAGAACATTGAAAGTAGAATCGTGGGTCGGGATCGAATTCCTTATCATTATCTCATTAGTCTCTATGGTAGTGTTGGTAACAAAAATGAGGTTCATCGTGTGTGGAACATTTACAAGGCTACCTTTCCGAGCATTCCAAATTTAGGCTACCATTCCGTAATTTCTTCTCTGGTTAGATTGGATGATATCGAAGGAGCTGAAATGATCTACGATGAATGGATTTCTGTGAAATCATTTTACGACTCTAGAATAGGAAATCTTCTCTTGGGCTACTATGTTAGAAAAGGGCATTCTGAAAAAGCCAAGACTTTCTTTAACCAAATGATTGAAGCAGGAGGAAAACCAAATTCAACGACGTGGGAGATTCTTGCAGAAGACCACATAAGAGAGAGGAGGATTTCCGATGCTCTTTCTTGCTTACAGAATGCCATTTTCCCTGAAGTTTCGAAGAGCTGGAGGCCAAAACCTGTGAATGTCTCTTCAATTCTCAAGATTTCTGAGCAAGAATCCGATATGGCTAGTAGGGATGCCTTATTTGAGGTCTTGAGGCAAGTGGGCTGTCTCGATGATGAAGCCTATATGTCACGCATTCGTGCATAATGGGACAGCAACGTATACGGCATTGTAGCAAGTGCAAACATAGGGATGACGGTATTCGACTAAATGAAGCTTAATGTTTTTGTACACTTATGCCATCAACCACGAATCTTTATTTAGAGGTATTTTGTGTAAACTAACACATATTTGATTACTCTAAAATTCCTACTGGATAAAGGAATTTTTTCATTTTTTTTGAGGGGGCCGTTTCTATGTACGAGAGAGGTGTGAAGAAAAACTTGTATTCTGTTTTCTCTATTATTGTGAAAACTTGTCGAGCAAGTGTAGTTCTAATATTCAGGGTAAACAACTATAATTTATGGTGTCGTGTTGGCATTAAAATTTATAATTGCGCTATGTCTGTCAAATTAGCAGTGAAGAAGGTTCTAGAGGGAAGAAGAAAACTGGCGGGAGAATTTTCTCATTACCAAAAACAATCAAAACTGAAACATTAGTCCACTATTTATACACAAATGTATCTAACAGACTTAACAGAAAAGAAGTGCAAAAAGACTTAAATATCCCGATGCTATCTTGTTCAATACACCCCCTCAAGATGGAGGATGGATATTCAGTACTTATCTTGCTTAACAACAACTTGAATCGTGTTCCTGCCAAAGGTTTGGTTAATAGATTAGCTGGTTGATCATGTGATGCCATATACAATATCTTCACTTCATAGGCTTGTGCTTTATCTCTTACCAAATGACAATCGATTTTATACGTTTTGTACGTTCATGAAATACGGGGTTCCTAGCAATGTGTATGGCGGATTGATTATCACAAAACATCAACACTGCTTGATTATATGTGACACTTAGATCATTAAGAATGTACTTCAGCCAACTTAACTCACGGGCTGCAACTGCCATGGATCGATACTCAGCTTCAGCTGAGGATCTTGAGACAGTGTGTTGTTTCTTAGACTTCCAAGACACAAGTGAATTTCCCAGAAATATACAATAACTAGTAATGGACCTTCTTGTATCTGAACAAACTACCTAATCTACGTCACAAAGCCCTTTGAGATATAAGTCAGGCTTGCTATCAAAGAACACGACTTGTCCTGGCGTACCCTTCAAATATCTTAGAACATGATGAGCTGTCCTCAAATATGATTGTTTTGGTGACTAAAGAAACTGGCTAAGTACATGTTTCCCATAGGATCAACCAGGCCTGGTTATAGTCAAGTAAAATAATCTCCCCACTAATCTTTTGTAGGTATTTTCATCTGCAACTTCTTTCCCTTCATTCAAGCTCAACTTCAAATTCTGTGGCAAAAGGCTATTGACAGGTTTTGCTCGAAGATATCTAGCATCAGCTAATATCTCCAATGCATATTTTCTTTGGCAAACAGATATTCCTTTTGATGTTCTTGCTACCTCGAGTCTTAGGAAATATTTCAAGATTCCTAAGACTTTCAACTTAGCTGATTATTCAATTCTCTTTTAAAATGCTCTATACAACATAGATCATTGCCTCCTATAATGATATCAGCCACATAAATGAGTAAGACGATAAATGTGCAGCCATTCTATTTGCTAAACAATGAGTAATCAGATTTGGACTTTTAAAAACATTAAAATACAATGTATGAGGTAAGTTTAGCATTCTATTGTCGTGAGGCCTGTTTAAGTCCATATATAGACTTATTCAACTTGCAAACTAATAGCTCCCCATGTACCCCCTGCTGCTCATAACCTGAAGGCAACAACATGTACACCTTCTCATCCAATTCACCATGAAGAAAATATATATTAATATCCAGCTGATGAGGGTGCCATTGTTTTTGAGCTGCAACTGCTAAGAGAGTTTTCACCTTAACCAGTTTAGCAAAAGGAGAAAAGGTTTCTTCATAATCCAAGCCGGCCTGTTGAGTGAAACCTTTGGTTACAAGACGAGCCTTCTTTCTTTCCTCAGTCCCATTTGACCGAAGCTTAACCTTGTATACCCATTTACAAGCTACTGGTTTCTTATGAGTAAGAAGCCTGGTGACAATCCAAGTATCATTGGAAACAAGAGCTTGATACACTGTGTCCTTGAACTTGCACCAATTTGGACAATGAAAAGCCTCAGCATAGGAACGAGGATCATACATAGTAGATAAAGCCACTGAATAACTCCCGTGGATTTTGGATAACAAGTCATAGCCCAGGTAGTGTGAAAGAGGATATCGCCTTCCCGATGTAGGATCTTTTTCTAAAGAATCAGATTGGGAAATAGGCCCCTGAGACATCAAGCGACAATGATAATCATGAAAGTATGAAGGAAGTCACCTGGGTCTGCTAGACTTATGAAGAAGAGCTTCATGTGATGACGAAGATGTTACAGGTGGAGAGATGTTAGTAGAGGCTGTTTGGTGAGAAAGAGAACCTAGGGTAGAAATGTCTGTAGTTGGAAAACGCTCAACAGGAAAAGAAATATGATCTTCTCTGTGTGATAGGACATGGATTGGATTGGAAAAGGAATTAACAAAAACTTGAGAAGATGATAGAATATCAAAAGAATAAGATGGTTGAGGTGAAAATAGAATTAGGTTAATATGAGAAGAATAAGTAGGATTAGACAAGGATGAGAGAAGGGCAGGATGATGATATGGAAAGATGGTCTCATGAGAAATGATGTCTCTTGAGGTTAACACAGTATATGTTCGAAGATTATACAGTTTATATGCTTTCCTGCCATAAGGATATCCAAGGACAAGACATGGCATGGCTCTTGGATCAAATTTGGTTTGATTCCTTTTGAGCGTGGAAGCATAACATAGGCACCCAAAGAGGTGAGTGTAAGAATGTTTTGTTTGGTAAAGCATTTCATAAGGAGATTTACCTCCAAGAACAGTGGTAGGGGTCCCATTGATAAGGTGAGTAGTAGTCAAAATGCATTCTTCCTTGAACTGATGTGGTAATTTAGCTGGGAATTTAATGGCTCGAGCAACATTAAGAATTTATTGGTGCTTTCGCTCGATGACTCCATTTTGTTGGGGCATTTCAACACAACTCAATTGATGTAAAATGCCCTTAGAACAATAGAAATCATGCATATGGAATTTTGAGCCATTATTTGATCTTATGGTTTTTAAATTGCATTAGAAGTGTGTTTGAACAAGATTGAAGAAAGATTGAATAATGTGCCTGGTTTGAGACTTGTCTCTCATAAGATAAGTCCTCTCATAAGATAAGTCCAAGTGATTCTACTATAATCATCAACAATGGTTAAAAAGAATTTTAAACCATCTAATGAAGGAGCAAAATGTGGCCCCCAAATATCACAATGAATGAGGCCAAATATTTTTGAGGTTTTAGTTTCATTGTTGGGAAATGATAGCCTATGTTGTTTGGCTAGAGGACATATTGTAAAATGCAGGTGTTTCATTAAATGTAATTGCAGGCACAAATGTGTAAAATTGATAGTTTGGAAAAAGAAATGTGTCCCAATCGACAATGCCAAAGATCAATGTTGGTGCTAATATCATTGATAGAACTACAAATAATAGGATTTAATTTATTACAATGCAAATTTAAAATAGGAATTTGACTATTACTGGAAAAGACAGTAAGAACTATATCATAAGAAATGACAGAATTTGTTCCAACTTGTGATGAAATTACAAAAGATTGATCATTAAGATGATGCTCAGAATGTTGGAAATGATATAAACGATCTTCAAGCTTGCCTATCCCCATCGTCTTCCATGTTAAAAGATCCTGGATAAAAGCAAAAATCATGTGAGAATAGTAAGAAACATTTGTGCTTAAGTACAAGATTACTTGCAGAAATCAAGTTGAACTTAAAACATGGCACAACCAATATGTCTGTGAAAATCAGATTCGTAGTTAATTTTTTTTACCTTTCCAACATGAGTAACTGGAACAGTATCACCATTTGGTGACTTTACAAATGCATTAACTTGACTGGTCACAGTAGTCAATTAATTGATATAACACACTATATGTTTTGAAGCACCCGTATCTATAATCCATCTACTTGGAATTATGGAAGTACTGGGATATATACGATTACATGAGAATGCAAAAGCATCAGGCATTTGAGAAGATGAAGATATTACTTCCTGAGATTGTTGGCTTCCTATGGAAAGTTGCCCTTTCAATTGTGGAGCACGCATAGCTAAGATTTGTTTGCACTGAATGGTAAGATTGGATAGAGAATTAGTCACTTCTGCACCATTATCATAGGAAACTTGACCAACGGTGTTAGCAACTGGAGTTTTACCTTTAGCTAATCTATGATCAAGAGGATAGCCAATTAACTTGTAACACTTCTCTTTAAGGTGTCCAGCCATCCTACAATAACTGCATATAGGCCTGTTCTTTCTCTCTATTTGATTTAATGCATTGGCTCTCTAATTGCCAAAGGAATTAGGATTACCTTGCTAGTAAAAGCTGATGCATCAAAACTCTGTTGCCCTTTTGCAATAACATCATTCTGTCTCTCATCTTGTAAGATTAATGCAAAAACTTTATTCAATGAAGGTATTGGATCCATTAATAAAATTTGACTTCTCACATTGGAAAAATGTTCATCCAGCCCCACGAGAAATTGCATACCTTGATCCTCTGATTTGTAATCAGCATTGCTAACCTCCGGTCTATAGTTGTGTAATTCTTCCCAAACTCCTTAAGCCGGTTGAAATAGGAATTGAAAAAACTATTTGCTTGAGAAATTGATGCAACCTGCTTCTTTGTTTTATAGATTCGAGGACCGTTACTTAACTGTATCGATCCCTAAGCTCGATCTAGATCTGGCATGCAGAATCCTTGTGCATAACACTCGAATAAACTTCTTTTAGAACAGAATTGATGATCCAGGAAGAGACTACATGATTGCACCTCCTCCAAGCACTGCAAAGTGGATCATCTACAGACTACAGAAGGTTTAGCAATCGATTCATTAATAAAACCCTCCTTATTTTTGACACTAAGTGCCATAACAACAGTACGACTCCATGTCCCATAGTCTCTTCTGTGACACAACAGATATGACCTGCATTCTCGTTTTATCACCATAATGGAGGTAATACGGACTATTTGGATCGCTTATTAACCGATTAACAAGGGAAGTTATCTCGCCAGCAACTACATCTCCGGCAAGGGAAGTTACCTCTCTAGCAACTACATCTCCGACAGACGAATCAGTTTGACTCTGGATTTGAACTTGTTCATTAGATTCCATTGCCATTGCAGGAAGCTTCAAAGCTCTGGTACCATGTCAAATTAGCAATGAAGAAGTTCTAGAGGGAAGAAGAAATTTGGCGAGAGAATTTTCTCATTACCAAAATCAATCCAAATTGAAACA